ATTTGATTTCCAGATACCAGTCTGTCTTATTGCTGACATACTGCTTGTAAATAAATTTATGTTACTACTAGAATTGCAGCAACTGAGTCTGCATTTGTTGACAAGTTGATGCCTTCACGATATGACAATTTTAAGTAGCAACTTGCCAGCAACTTGCCGACAATTAAAAAATTTTCATTATCAAAATTTATTCTCTTACCGTCATGTTGCTATAATAATCTGTATTAAACTATAACATCATGCAATGCAATCACGTTACTGACGAAGTAATACTACTAAACTGCCATTAAACCGCTGACATATATACATTATTGTCTGCGTATTGCTACAATGTCGGTATATTTGAACAAATTGACGAATATACAGCAAGTTGTCAGTATTATAAGCAACCACGCCATTTTGTTGAGACACGCTTGATTATCTGGGTTATAAAGAAGAGTAAGAATTATAATTTTAGTATAAACAGCGGATTTCTTATTTTTAGGTTTTACATGTAGGCGGTCAAATGAATATCCTGTGTTACTGTTTGATGAATTTCGCAACTAAGGAAAGTGGAAAAAAGCACCAATCAATCACAACAGATGAAATCATTCAGAGACATCAGAAAATTATTAATTTCTCTAAGAATGTAGAAAAACTGTTCACGTACATCGCATTAGTGATGTTTATGGTTAACTCGATATTGATTTGTTCATTGGCGTTTGTCATCGTAAGCGTAAGTAAAAGATGGGAGTTAAAATATTATGTATTAATAATTACTGTTTGTCGCTAGCTAATATATAAGCGCACGATTACTGTAATTAATTTCCTTATGTTTTATAACATACGAATGTAAATAAAGGCAACTATTTTCATAATTGCGTAACAAGATAACGATTTTTTTTCGTGTATAGGCAATTGGTACACCCGATGCAGTGGAGCAGATAGTAAGATCTATTTTCTTTTTCGCTGGAACAAATCTAGAAGCGTTTGTATTTTGCTTCCCTGGAGAATATCTGAACAATAAGGTTAGCGATAAAATGACTTTTATATTGATGATTACAAATAATGCTAAATTTTATATTAAAATATTTAAAAAAGAAGTTATCATTAGACACTAAAACAATTTTTACAAAATGTACTGAAAATATTTCCATTATTTCCATCTTCCTAGAGTAAAGCGATTGGAAATGCAGCATATAATACCCCATGGTATAACTTGAAACCTAAGGATAGCCGTATCTTATCATTTATAATATTAAGATCACAAAAACAACTAACGCTCACTGTTGGAAAAATGGCTGATCTCTCCTTAGAATATTTTACAAGTGTAAGAATTATGCGTAGCATATGAATTAATTTTGCACATTATTCGAATATACAATGATTAACAAGTGCAAGAAAATTCGAGAAATAATTCTAGATGATAAAATTAGACAGAAATTGAGAATAACAAAATCGTGGTGAATTATCTTTTAAATACAAATATTTAAATATCCACGTACTTTAGACACCTTTACGTAAATATTTAAACATTTGTAATTAAGAAACAAAGCTAAAATCATAATCTTATTGTTTTTTATTTTTGTCTTATTCGATCATCTTTATAATCTTAAATTTTCTTCCCCCTATTGCCAGACATCCTGCACATAACAAATATTTTATATATACGTATATAAAGCTTGTTATAAAATATGTATATTATCTTTTCTTATTCTTAGATCTGACTTACTTATTCAAATTTTGGCGTTTAATTAATTTCAAAATTTGCGACATTGTTTAAAATATGCTTGTTTGTGATCATTTGATATCCGTTATAAATTTATAATTATGTATAAAAATAGTTTTTACTTGTAAAACAAAGTGACAATGTTACAGATCATGAATGCTTCGGGATCGTATTTATCAGTGATGTTGGCGATGCAATAAACGTCACGTCCGTCTCGTCGATCTTCTCAGCTAGTATTTGTAAAACACACAGTAACGTACAAATTACATTACGTTAGTTCAAAAATACACGCAATGCAAATTTATTTTCCAAAAATATTTGGAGTAATTTAGAAAACATGATGCGAAATTCAAACTGCGATCTGAAATTCTGAGATGTAATGTATACATAGTTAAAGTTAGGTAAAGCAGATCAATGTTTCTCAAATAAATAGGTATCTCTTTAGTATTGACTGTTAAATGGTTTTATACGATATCGTGCGACATACATAACATGCCCCAGTTTTATTCCATAATGAACTACTTACTTTTATATTTATCAGTCGATATCCATAGGTTCTTAATTAATCTCTCGCAAATATCGCTACACCAATGCACATTCATATATTATACGTACACAAAAAACATATACATCTCGTAGCATCGCGCAATTCAGTTTTCTGTTTCTTCGTCAAAGTCTCTTCACCCTCTAGATTTTAAAAACTTTTCAAAGGATCCCCTCCAAGCTCGATTTGCCATTGCACATACGTCGCTCCGCCTATATGTCCGTTTGTTGTATATTTAAGGTAAACATTTTGCGATCACCAGTGCACGAAAGAGGGAGAAATAATTCTACCTGTACCTTTCTTTTATCAAAGTGAGGAGGAGCAGCAGCGTTGCATTTGTGGTCACTGTACGATAAAAATATTTAATGAGCAACTTCTATTGGCTGTTGGCTTAGAGGTGCACCTGTGTGATGACCTCTTACGACCTTCCAGTCTTCAATGATATAACATCAAGTTGTGAACAGAAAATATACACATTTAACGAAACTATTTTTTTTTCTTTTTGAACGTATTCTTGCCTACCATTATGTATATGTATATATTGATGTATATATATATATATATATATATAT